ACCCATGCTCTTGTGTTTGGACCCTGATCATTTATATTACTGTTTGATATCGCTGTAGTATAGTAGTAGTATTTGACATGTTATATCAGACAATCAAATGTGCTGTCCCATACTTCATAAAAATTGTGTGCCTCCAACTCGTAATAGCTGTGAGGACCTATATGTTGTTATCATGTGGCCTATGCTGATGGTAAGATGGCACTTAGATTATGATAGATGTAAGTACCCATATGTTATTATCATGCCGTATCTACTAATGATAACACGCCCCTTCGAGTAGATAATAGATTCTTTGCTATGAGCATATCCCCGCAATCTTCCCTGTATGCTGAAAACGGACTTTACATGCTACTAGTGTCGGAGTCTCACCATTTCCCCGGTCTATGTTTGTCATGATCTGTAATGTCGGTCAAGGTCATTTGCTTATCATTCATCCCCTCATTTAGTGATGGTACGCGTGTACAGTACAGCTAGGCGCCCTCGAGTGTATCTCAGCCCGTAGAGCAAAAGAGAGAAAGTCCAGCTGGCAGGCCGATCAATGAAGACAAAGTACACATCTTGCGCTATCCAACAAATACCTCCGAAATGTATCGCCCTAGTTCTGACCGTATCTTCTGGAAGGCATTTAGAGCTACCTGCTCCATTCATGTCCAAAGTCAGGCCCGTACCCAGTGGTCTGACTCTTGAGACCGGCTTATTAAGTGCTCCTGCGTTTTATAACTTCTTTAGGCAGTTCTCTCGCCAGACCGACTGGCACAACTTGTTTTTCCCATCAGCCATATTCTGCTTAGCCGAGAGACATTTTGCAGAGAAAAGTTTTTAGCTGAACAAATTGTGCCAGTCGGTCTGGCGAGGGAACTGCCTAATGAAGTTATAAAACGCAGGAGCGCTTAATAAGCCAGTCTCACGAGCCAGACTGCTGGGTAGGAATCTGGTCCAAAGTACTTGTTGCCTAGATTTGTAAGATTTGTGGCCTGGTGCATCAGCCCAGTTCTCGACCGCAAGGCGGGCCTCTGTAAGCCCGACACCTTCCTGGACTTATGACATGCGCCACATCCTCGGCAATCTTGGACTACAACTTGATTGACATCCCTTATTCCATTTTCTTTTAGACTTACAATTTGCTTCCATTTCTATTCTTATTGTTCTCTCTGCTTCAAAGAAGACTACGTCTTCACTCCTTCCCTTGGATTACTAATTTACTATATTACCCAATTCCACGCCCTTGCTATCCTCCTGCTTACACGTATAAAATGGACTCCTTCTCATTACTTACCTTAGGATCCCTTCCTGTCTACTCTTGTACCTCCCTGCATCACCTCTCAAATCATATGCATTATTCTACTCAGTTCCCATCCAAACTTTAGTGTTCCCCACCTTGGGCAGGGTTTCAGCCTCCCACTCCA